CTCTGTTTGTTCCGTTCGTTTTGCTCCCAAGCCGTTGAAGAATGGGGCACGGAAACCTTTCCGGTGCCCTCAGTAACATTTGTCAGAACCTATCCTCCGAACTTTGGCTAAACAACAGCTTTGGATTGTGTGTTACAGAAATTTTTATTCACACTCCAATATCGATCGTTCTTCTTATCCTATCCGTAGGGCTCTTGGTACCAATGATACCCAATATTTCTTTTGAACGGTTCTACTCAAAGGTGTTTTACATCCGCATGGGCATTGACTTCCTTATGCTGATGAAAATGGCCATTTTCGTTGTCCTGTCCACCTCAACTCCCTCAACAACAAACTTACTCGGCGCAAAAATTACGATACTATATCTAACTGTTCAGTTATTGACCTGGCTGGCCATTACTGTGAATGACTTTGTTCATGGAAAATCATGTTGGCTTCATTCAAGAGGTCCATACGTGCTTATCTTTTTAGAGGTAGTTTACATGTACACGACGACAGTTTTATTATGGGGTGTCGTGTCCCAGCTGTCTTCCAAAGAGAACTTCGCCATTATTTTTTGTGTCGTTGCTGATGTGGTTTTAATTGCTGTGCACCTAATATCCAGGATACCCATTGTGTTTCCAGTTGAAGAAGAAAGAAGTCTGAGAGCCCGTCTGCTACGAACTTCACACAACTGGAATCCTCCAAAGTTCACGCCCATCTCTCGAGGCCAAGCGAATTCTGATATGGTTTTTGATGAAAATACAATCGTCCCTGAAGTTTCCAGCGAGTCCAGCGCCGGCTGGTTAAGCAGAATATTTTTCACCTGGATAAATCAAACCATTACGAGGGGTTATTATGGGGAATTGCTCTCGCCAACTTTATTGCCACCGATTTCTAAATCCCTGGATGCAAATGCCCTTGGCAAAGTGTTACAACTTTCTCCAGAAACGCCACCGAATTCCGCAATCTCTCTTTTCAAAACCATCTTTCGCGTTTTTGGAAAAGAATTCGCTGCTCTTGGCTTTGTAAAATTCCTTTTTAGTTCACTAGGCCTGGCTAGCCCTATATTTCTGAACAAGTTTTTGTCCGAGCTTTCCTTGGCCAACCCTTCTTCTACATATGCAATCATATGGGGTTGTGCATTGATCGCCTCAAAACTCATAACTGCCTTTCTCGGCATTGCCTATGATTATTGGATCCCTCGATTCGGTGTTAAATGCAAAATGGCTGTCACGGGGATTGTTTACAGTCAGTTGTTGACTCATAAGTCATCAGACTTATCACAATTCAGCACAGGGAATCTCGTGAATCTTCTTACGTCGGATACTGACCGTATTGTGAACTTAACACCCAGCATCAATGAATTGTGGGCCTTACCGGTTCAATTCTTCGTTGCTTTGGCACTCTTGTACCTCCAGCTAGGGGTCTCGTGTTTGGTTGGCGTAGCCTTCCTGATTATTCTTCTACCAGTTAACCGTTACGTGGCCAATCGCATCGGTAAATATTCATCGGACTTGATGTACCACAAGGATATTCGCGTCAAGGTTTGCCATCCTATTTCTTTGTCCGTTTAAAATTTCAGGTTGTTTTAGACTTTATATACTTGTTTGTAAGCTTTTGACATTTTGCTCCATATCTATTCTAAGGTTTCCTTTCTTAAATAATTAATTTTTGAATACTTTCAGTTTATTTCGGAGCTTCTGTCGAGTATGGCGACAGTCAAACTTGCCTGTTTGGAACACCCTATGTCTCAGAAAATTCTTGGTGCCCGAAAGTTGGAACTAAAAGCTTTGCGGGGCCAAAAACTGCTTGACGCTTGTTGCGTTTTCTTATGGGCTGCCTGCCCAGCTCTTTTGGCTGGCGCTACTTTCGTCACGTTCGCCGCTCTCGGAAATGAACTCAGACCGGCAGAGGTGATTTTTGCTTTTCAGTATTTTAGTTTCCACGAAGTTCACAGTGAAGTTCCAAGCCATTGTTGAATTTTTTGTTAAATAGGTCACAAGAGGACCATTTTCGATTGGTAATTTCAAGGAAATAGTTAACCAGTAAATTTTTATATGGCTTAAATTTACTAGCCCCACAATCAGTACCTACGTTGAGAATGAGATGCCTTTTATGGAACTTAACGGGCGGTCGTCTTATGCCAAGAAATTAGTAAATAGCTACTATTTGCTACGTGA